CTCGACTCCCAATGGAACGATCGGCTAGCACGAAAATACGAAACCCCAGTGTGACGCTGCACAAACAAGCATGCACGATGTTGTCACAGTGGTCGGTTATATGGGCTGGTAATACGTTTCCGCAAGGTGACGCGGGATTGCTACGACTTTTGCCGGTGCACAACGACTTAGGGCCAGCACCTAGTAGCAGACTTTCAGGGGGTGCGAAGCGCACTGGCAGTTGATCGGACACCTTTTACACCGCAACATGCAAAAGTGAACTGTGCTGTGAAACTACTTGCACGCATCTTCTGCTGTGTCTGTGCGACCTGCGGGCCGGATGCCACAATCACCACAATCTGCACACTCTGGCTGAAAATGCCTCGCCAGCTAAAGCTTCGGACCAGCTAAGTCTCGAGGCGGCGCGGCAGACAGAGCTGAAGGCAAAAGGCTTGGCTACACGAGCGGGATTTCCACACTCATTGTATTTTTGTTGCCTTCAGTCACTGTCCATGTCGCCAACCTCTAGGATCTTCTCGGCGTCTCGTATAGCTTGGTCTCGGCGACGCGGCGATCATCCTGCTTCTGGTTTCCAGTCTTGGCCTTGATGACAACCTTGCGTCGTTGTCTCTCAAACCTCTTTTTCTCCTTCAGCTGAAAGTTCGCCTCCGTCTGGCTTAAGCAGATGATGCCGTCCTTGAGGTACTGGCGAAGAACCTCCTTGTCTGCATTGGCTTTGATGAGGACGTCGGCTATGTTCTGAATGCCATCTATCCACCTCACGTGGGCCCGCGGTCTTTTGACCGTCTCGCGAAGAAGCGCCCCTTCGATCGCCATCGCCATCCGCTTGTCCGTGCTGGTGCTGTGGCTGTCCTTCTCCAGGTAGTCGAGAACGGACTTGGCGTCGCGGTGACATAGACTCTGTCCCGGCGCTCGATCACCTCCGGCCAGGACTTTAGGTTCACCTCGTTGGTGAGCGCGTCCTCCAACAGGACTGTCAACCAGTCCCCGGCTTCAACGGCTTCAGCAAGATGACTGGCCTCGGCTGCCAACGTGGATCGGCAAACTCTTTAGGTCTGCCCGCTGTGAAAAGCGAGCACGTTCGCTCGCGAAGGCTTGCCCTCCAGGATGCAACTGTTCGCCACCAGGATGAAGTAGCCACCGACGCTTCTGTAGCGCATGATGTCGTTGTGGTCGGGGCTGCCGTTGGCGTGGCCACTGTCCGCCAGGTGGACACAACGACCCCGTTGCTGAGGTCCACGCTCATCCGGAAGTCGGCCCCGCGCCGGGCCATCCCAACGTATTGTTTCAGCCGAACAAGGTCGGCCATGCAGGTGCCAACCTTGCTTCGCTGCACCACCCCGTTAATCTCGTAGGCCACGTCGCAGCGTAATTGCCGGGCGATCCAGCCCAACTCGCCGGCAACGCTGTTGTAGGTCTCCATCTCGCAGGCGTCAGCTCCTTCTCCAGCTGTTGCCGTTGCTCCTTAGTAACCTTCACGCGCTTCATCGAGAGGGCATAGTTCCTCATGGAGATGTCGATGTGGCCGTCGGGTGTTTGCTTCACCTCCCTGCCCCGGAAGATAAAGTCTTTAAAGTGGTTGGTTGCAAACTCGAGGGCGCGGCTGGGGCGGTAGAAGGCATTGTCGAGGTACTTTGGGTGGACTCCGCCTTCAATGTCATCGACGTGCGTCACCAGTACGCCGATAACCTTCTTGTCCCTCCTCAAGTAAGTAGAAGAGGGCCGGCTCAAGCCGGCTCATGTGCCAGCCGTGGTTCTCCAAGTGCTCTCGCAGGGCCAACCAGAACAGCCGGGCCGCCTCAGCAAAGCCATGTATGGCCTTCTTTGCCCGTAAAAGCTGAGACCAGGCAGCCCGCCCCGCGGCTGATCCAAGTAGATCTCGTCCACGCTTTTGCCGCTGAAGTAGGCATTCTTGATGTCCTTGGCAAACAAGACGAACTGCATATAAACGCAGACTGGCCAGCAACAGCAACACCAAGAAGAAAGGACGGAAGGAACTCAGGATTGCCGACCTCACGCCGGAGGTCCGGGAGCTCTTCACCGGAGCCCAGGGTTCCGATGCCAAAGAGTGGGCCGCCTGGAGGGCCAAAGATGCATGTGAAGTTTTGGGCGCAGCCGAAAGCGCCCGCATCAGGACCGAGAAGCCCGAGCTCATCGTGCCGACAAGACGGGTGCGAATGAACAAGAACGAGGGCCTGGTGGCAAAGGACTTCCTGGCGACGTCCCGGCTGGTGGTCCAAGGCTTCAAGGACAAAGCTTTGGGGCAGTACAGGCGGGATGCTCGTATACTGCCTCAGCCGTGGCCGAGAGCCTTTGCCTGCCTCCTGCGCCGCCAGGGCCTCGTACTTATCCTGGAACACGTTCCGGCGAACACCGAAGATAGGAACTCGTCAAGGGTGACGCCGGCAGCCAAGTATAGGAAAGCTCGTTCTTGTAGTAGTGGCCTTGCGCTTTCTCCAACAGGTAACTTCCAGAGCTGGCCGCCGTGTAAGCACAAACGCTTTCCTCAACCTAATGGGCCAACTCGCCGTCGCCGGCTCCTTCAAGAACCCGTTGTCGCTTAGCCTCCCGCGCTTGCGCTTCGCCGCCCGCCTCCTCGTCGATGGCCGGCATCGGCGGCAAGACTGCGCTGGACTCGGGGATGTGGTGGTCGTTCAGGCCCGGGTCCCATTCCATCATCTCCTCGCTGAGCGGCATTTCCCGGGGGCGTGGGCGGCTCCAGGTGCTCGCCGCTTCCTCTCTTGAGCCAGGAAAAACTCACTTGATTGTCGGGCCTTCTTTGCGTCCCGCTCGGACTGTAGCCGCATTCTTGCCATATAGAGGTCGAGGATCAGATCTCCGCCGTCTCGCTTCGTTGGTGGTCCCCGGTCAATGAAGCCAGTTCCTCCAGACTGGGGCCGGGTCAATCAAGTCCACTTCGTTGGCGGCGATGGTCCACTGGTTCACTTCCTCGCTGGGCAGGGCTTGGGCGCCGATCCTTGCCACCTCGGAGTCGTCACAAAGTACGGCCGGTAACCGGATCTCTTTCCCGAGAACCCATTGCATCGGGGAAAATCCTCCCTTCCGTGAGCAGCTGTTCTTGGCCTGGTGGCGACGATTCGCCGCAGGTCTGAAAGGTACTGCCCTGGTCCAGGATATTGATCCACGTCCAGCTTTGCCCTTTGCTGTCCTTCTCCGTCAGGATATCCAGGCCGCTCTGCACATTGAACTCGTCAGTCATGGGCAGGCCAGGCGGAAGAGACGACAGGCCTTCAGGGCGACCTCGCTGGCACGAGAAATTCTCACTGCCCCCAACATAGACTAAGTGTTGGCGTGCCCCAAGTTCACGTGGACACGCCTGATCGCCAGCTTGAGTTCCCCTGGCAGGTTGTTCGGCTCTCTTGCCTGCTCCTTGGCCAGCCAACGGTCGTCCTCTTCCGGGTTGTCCACCTCGCCTGTGTCCTTGGCGTAGAGAACCACATAGAGGGAGCGGTTCCTTGCGACCAAAGGCCGCGCTTGTGCCGAGGGTGCCTGTGAGGCCCAATCCTCCCAGTCGGTTGTGAGGATCTGGTTGTCGGCCAGCAGCAGGAAGGATTTCCTGATGGGCGCGTCGCGCGGGCCACAGTGTGGCTGAGACTTCTTCATCCGCCGGGCAACCTGAACATCCGCTGTTGCCGACTCTCTGGCTGCCCAAGCTTTGCCCAGATCACCTTGTAGATCCAGCTTGTTCCACGACTCACCACCTTCCTGTCGCACATAGTCAAGGGTGGCCTCCAGGAGAGAGAGAAGCTCGTCATCCTCCGTCTCTATCCAAAACCCCCTCTGCAACTGTCTTGCGCGGTGACCACGACGACGCAGAGCACGCTCATCTTTGACTAAATCACGACCCTCTTGTTGTGGCTCTTCTTGCGCTGGTTCTGCTGGTTGCGCTCGCTCCATATCATCTAACTCTATATATCAAACGGAGCGGCCGAGTCATAAGGAACGGCGGAGTCATAGGGCACCGCCGAATCAGGGATCACCGGCGTGCTCGGTGACCACGGCTCCTCTTGTTTTGGCTCTTCTTGTGCTGGTTCTGCTTGTGGTTGTGCTGGCTCCCTTCGCCTAGGCGGAACTCGGTCTCGCCCCGTCCATTCTTGATCCAGTGTCTCTCGCCGGCCGTGCCACCAATCTCCTTCATGAACTCGCTGGCCATCAGCATCCGGGCCCGGCGGCCTGGAAGTAGATCTTGAAAAGGGCAGGGAGGAGCCGTGGAAGAGTAAGGAATGAACAGCAACCGTCGGGGAGCCCTGTGCACTCGGATCAGCAGGTCGAACCTCCAGTCGTCCTCGGTGGGCTCCTCCTCGGCCTCGGTCACTGACTCAAAGTCCTCCACCTCTCCTTCTGCCGCCGCCCGCAAGGCGTGCCCGACCTGGCCCTGGCAAAGGCGATGCTGTCGTCTAGGCACATCGTCTCCTGAATGCCTTGGCAGACGGCCCGGCAAAGGCACGCGTCCAAAGTGCTTGTGGTAGTTGAGGTTGGGATCGAGGCGTGCGTGCCCCAACGGCACGTGCATCTTTGCCAAGGTGGTTGAGGACCAGCTCGCCGTTGGAAATCCATCTGAGAGGTTGCTTGTCCAGGTGTCCCCCACCGCTTTGGTATGCACAAAGGTCGCCGCACACCAGCTTCCCCCAAACGGATGCAGTTCTTGAAGTAGTCGCTCTAGTTCGTGTGGCTTTTTTTGGGCCCAGGCGTCGGCGGCACTGAGGTAGTAGCGGTGACTTCGGTGCTGTCGCCGGGCCACCTCTGTAGCAAACCGCTCCGACTGTCCTCGTCGCCCGGCGCGGTTGTTGGCGAGCACCGTCAGGAAAGGTCGGTGCTTGGACAAGGTGTCCTTGAGAAGTTGCCGCCCGGCCTTTCCAGTAGCGTCGTTGCCGCCCAAGCGGTCCATTGCCCGGGCGCACGTCCAGCCCAGGCGTTCCGATGCATAGCGAGTAAGAGCGGCATCCTCCGACAGAGGTTCATAGAGCCAGGTGCCGCGGCCATGCTCGGAACCATTCTGAGGCATGCACTGATCAAGCCTGTTGTGCCGCTGCTCGGCAAGGCGAAGCTCTTGAGCACGTCGGGCCGGCAGCTCGCTAACTCGACTTGGTCGAGTCATGTAGACCAACGCGCCTCTGGGTGACACCTCCGGCTGCGGGGCCGGTGCTCGCTCACATGCCCTTCTTGGCTGCCCGGTAAAGGGCACCTCCCTCGTCGAACTTCCGGGTAAACTTGCACTGCTTGGGTCCAGGGAAGTTGCCGCAGCCAAAGAAGTAGCCCACACCATCTCGTCGGCGACGAAGCATCCGAAGCACCATAGCAACGTCACACACATCGCAGCGCACCTCCCGCACCGGGTCGCCCACCGCCGGGCCCAGGTGCATCATCGAACTTCTTCGCTGGCTTCTCGGTGGGCAGAGGAACTGGGCCGGCCGTGTAAGCAGCTGCCGCGGCCCCGGGTAGTAGACGAGGAGCTCTTGGAAAATCGAAATATACAGCCAGGTGCTCCGCGGTCTTGGAACACCCTTTCTTCAGGATTGCCTCGCCCTCGTAGAGCTTCACCATCCTGTTCCGAAGCTCTTCTTTGGCGCCACTAGTCTGGACACCCCACCGGTCACAGCTTGCAGCTCGTGCACCTTTATGTCATTCAGCCCGACCGGCCTAGTGCTGGCAAAGCTGAGCACCCGGATGTCCTCAATGTCCTCCGCGGCCACCTTGATGACCATCTGCTCCTCCTTGCGCTCCTTCTTCACCTTCTCGGGCTTCACCGCAAGGGGCTCGGTGCCTCGTTCGGAGGGGCACGGGGGCTCGACATACAGCCAGTCGCCCGCATAGGCGCTCGTCTTTGCGGGCTTCCTCGTCATCCAAGGGCGTCTTCCCCGCATCTTGCTCCATGGCCTTCTCGCTGTCCTCGTCGTGGTAGATCATGTTGCAATGCGCCTCCTCCGGGTTATGGTCCCGAAGGCCGAAGAACATCGGCGCCTCGCCCGTCAGGTAGGTCCCCGGGTGGCCGCCTCGATCGCCCTTCCGCCTTCCGCTGTCCTTCCCCCGGCTTGCCCGTCTTGCCTTGGTTCTGCCCGCTCTTTGGACACTGCGCGTCACCGGCCCAGTGCCCCAAGCGATTGCAAGCCGAACAGCGGCTCCTGCTCTTCTCCTTCTCGATGGCCGCGCGCCGGTCCTCCGCCGAACCTCCTCCAACGAACCGGGCCTTCGTGAAGCCACGCGTCCGGTACGAGGAATAGGCCTCGAACACGGCATCGTCATTGGAGGCTCCTTGGTCGGACCCGCCGTCGGTAAAGTCGTCGTCCGCCTCTTCGCCATCCTCCACAGCTAGGGCATAGTTGTCGGGGTCTTCCTCCTCATAGTCTTGGGGCTCGTCCTCGGTCTCCTGCTCGCCCTCTCCCGCTTGCCGCCGCCCTTGGCTCCTTTCCGACCGGCTGGGGCCGGCCAGTCCCTGCTCTTTTCCTGCTCATGGATGTCAAAGAAGCTGACACGCAGGGCCTTCTCGATGCCTTCCAGGCTATAGTCGGACGGGTTGGCAAGCAAGATCTGCCTGCGGTCTTCGCGGCTTAAGTTGGCATTCTTGAAGCGGAAATATGCCAACAAATCCTCCGACATGTTGATCCCCTCGGCCAGGTCCCTCAGGTCATTCCAGCTCTCCCGCCTTGCCCTCAAGAAGCTGTCGATCGTCTGGCGACTGCGGCGGTAGCTGCGGTCAAAGAAGACGTCAAAGGCCTCCGTCCTTTTTATAACCCCGACCGCCTCGATGGCTTGGAGCGCCGAGAAGATCTGCTTTTAGCCGTCGGCGCCACGAAGTTTCTCAGGACCCACCAGCAAGTCCTGACAGGCTTTCCATGCCTCGCCATGCAAGCCATCCAGCAGCCTCTTGGCGAACCTGCCCCGCTTCTTCTCCAAGCTGCGCTTCTCCTTGGTCTCGTCATCGCCGTTGCCTTCCAGGGTGTTGTATGCGAAGAGGACCCTCCGGCGGTACTCCTTCATAAGTTCTGGCCGGGCTCCCGTAAAGTGCGGGATGCCATCCCTGTCCACCACTATCTCATCATCACGACAGAACTGCTTGTTATCGGCCATGGCAGCACGAGGGGCTATTCCAGCTCCGCTACCAGTGCGAAGCGCAGTGGCAGCTGACCGGACACCTTTTACACCGCAACATGCAAAAGAAACTACTTGCACGCATCTTCTGCTGTGTCTGTGCGACCTGCGGGCCGGCTGCCACAATCTGCACACTCTGGCTGAAAATGCCTCGCCAGCTACAGCTTCGGACCAGCTAAGTCTCGAGGCGGCGCGGCACACAGAGCCGAAGGCAAAAGGCTTGGCTACACGAGCGGGATTTCCACAGGGGGCGTGTGTTTTGCAAGGCACGGCCCTTCAAGTCTGCTAGCCGCTGCTAGCTCGCCTGACACAGCAGCTGGGGTTCAGCATCTCAATCCCGAGGACGACCCATGTTCAAACCATAATCTTGTGCAACGGCGAACTCACCAAACACCAGACTCCAAAGCAAGTATGTTGGATCGTCCATGGTGTACTGAGAGTCCGACGGGCGTGAACGCAAACAAGCATCCACAGCATTCCACAGCGCAATGCGCGAATCTGCTATACTTGACTGACCCCGACTTGCTCCTCTAGACTCTAGTCAGTATATGGTCTCTGCAATGCAGCGACATGTCCCGAAGCCGCTGCAGCCAAGTCCTCGGGGCTTGTCGCTGTCCAGCTGGAATTTTACTGTTCCAGCTCTGTCGCTCTGGAAGAAGACACGATACCTCGGTGTGCTTTCAATTGCAGGACCGCAAGTCTTGACGAGAAGCTGCCCTGGGGCCTGGTATGAAGCACGACAGGCTCTGAAGCTGAACCTTGAGGCCCTTCGGCCCTGCACCCTCGTCCAAACCACGCACTTGCGAAGATCTCTTGGCAAAGCAACACATCCACGATCCGTTCGTCCGGAGGAGGGTCCCAGGTGATCTCCCCACCGACGTCGAATTCGTCAAGATCCTGTGACGAAGGCCACACCATCAAAACCCCCACTAGAGAACACGATTTAGGAGTGTTTTGAAAGGTCCTAGGAGCTTAGGGTCTAAGGTCTACAAAGCCCGCGACCAGACTACGACGTGTGGAGGTCTCGAAGTGCAGCATCTGCATGCGAAAGGATAGGACATTAGGGTTATCGGGCTCATTGGACCGCAGGATTTGAGGATTTTCCGACACAATGAAGGTCCCGATCGAAGAGCGTGATGTTCTCCACAATTGCAATCGAATCTATAAGTTCGAGGGCAGCTGGAGTCGTCATCTCGGCGAGTGTTGACTCCGAATACCTGGGAAGCCACGACGTGCGTGAATGCGAGTTATGCAGACTGTCAACTCCTGCGACATGATTGTCTGCTGCGTAACATGGTGACTTCACAGTTCCACTAACGTAGCAGACACAATCGCAAGATATCATGCCTTTGTTTTGTCGTCTCCAATAACTCCATGCTCGTCCAGAGATGCCACCGGGAAGTGATGTCGCGGTCCACTTGTGCTCGCATCATCGATGCAGACGGGCGGCACCAGAAGATGTGTGTGGTTGTACAGCGGTGTGTCCAACGGGATGAAGAACCTGGCTTGCTTGTAACAGCAAGTAACAGGTCTCTTTCCCAGGAGCCGCATCACTAGGTTCGACATTTAGCAGCTGTGGAATTTCAGGCTATCTCGCTGCAGCGTATCATCCCGGGCACGGAATGGCACGGAGAGCACGCTGAAGCTAACTAAGAGAAGGGGCTCGTAGATGCCCACAGAAACGTTTCCCAAGTATTGGCGGCCGTGACCATAAGCGTTCTCAGACAAATAGACGTTGTACCGGATAACCTGCCAAACACGAGGCAGGATGTCAGGGTGTGTTTGTTCTCAGAAGCGGATCAAGGCTTGCCCAAATTGTAAGCGCAAACACTGCGTCCGAAATTCTGGCATGGAGCATGGAACTCGTCGGTTGGCGGATCCCAAGTGAGGTTGCCAGCGAGTTCCCCGCGGTCCACATCGATGTCTAGGAAATCCAGATTTTGAGGCAGAGCGCTAGTGTCGAAGAGGCTGTGCGCAGTCGGAGTGGTCTGCTCCGCGAGAACTGACCTGGGGAGTTGCTGAGAGACGGGAGCTGAAAACACGTGTCGCTTGACTGTCGACTCGACAGGGCGTATGCTTTGTTGTTGATCGACGGAGAAGCAAACAGTAAGGATGATGCGCGCCTGCCATTGAACTAACAAAGACCTGTGACTCGCACCAACCGTGACCGTGATAGGTCACGTGATGCACCACTACTGTATGTATGTATGTATGTATGTATGTATGTATGTATGTATGTACATATATATATACATATATATATATACCTGTACATACATAGGAAGTGCACCACAAGCTGAAGGCGCAGGGATCCAAAGAGGGAGTAACGAGATTCGTGTCAGCCAATGTTTGCTCCGATCGCTACAATCGTTACAATACTCCGAATACATGCGTTCAACTCACAATCATCGAATGTACGCACTCAGACGGCAGGGAAGACTTGCCTTTGCCAGTCCAACTTCAGCTTGGGCTCTTGGTATACACCACGAAGCGTGTATAGGCATTGCGAGGTGTTTCTGCAGGTGTCAGGAGCATGTTTGTCCCGAACGGAACGTCCTGGTGCTTGGGGTGTGCGGAGGGTCCATGGACCGTTATCACGCTGACGAACTTTCTGGTCCGACTGAACTTCAGAGCTTGAAATTCATCGGTTGTCGTCCCCTTAACACGTTATTGTCGAATTTGAAAGATTCGGCCGTCCAGAAAAGTAGAAGCACCATCCAAGATTTGCTTGCAATGATGGCTGCTTCGATCAAACAAGCAAGCCTGTAAGCACTGATCCTCAAATCATGAAAGCCGTTTGCAGAGGCTCAGGACCGAAGTTATTGCTTGTAGGACGAGACAGCGCAAGTTCAAAATGCTAACCACAAACTCTCGTAGCTCAAGTTTCCTCGGCCTTGAAGGCATCGGTAACATGGTGCAGGCTGGGATTATACAGTTGAGCTGGCTTTCTCGATTCGCGAAACTTCGAGATTGTTCAGGAAGCTTGCTCTGTTAAGTGCTCTGACAGCATGGAAGCAACCCTAAACCATCCCAAGTGCATAAGCCCTCACCCCGTGACACTCCTGCTCGATCTGCGACCGATTCGTCCCGATGTCGTCGAGGGACAAATAAACCACATAGGCCAACACCTCATCTTCGGCATGTGGAAAGATTTCAAGCCATGGCTAGCCCTCGTTTCGGAATCCATTTAAAATTTACCTTGAGTGTGCCACCTATAGCTGCGGCAAAAACACGCAAAAAAAAAAAAAAACAGCTCACACGAGTGGCTACAGACGAACATACCCCTCGGGGGTTGACGTAAGCTGTATGATTTCACATTACTTTTCGAGCAATCACGGCAGCCGCTGGCCTAGCAGCATGCGAACGATTCAAGCAAGACGAATGCTCGTCCGAAAATAGATACGGCCATATAGGTAGGATTGCACACGTGTGCGTGCGTGCATGCATGCTTGCGGGCCCACCTGGCGGGCGGCGTACGTACGCAGAAGGTTACGCAGACACATACACGAGTGAAAACGTATCATATCGTATCATCATGCATGTACGAACTTTCGAATTCCGCGCCGGACAAAGGATATTCACAGTGGTGGAGTCAAGCCACCCGATCCCAATCGGAGCCAGGTGCAGTCCAACTCACCACGCCGCCAAGGTCCTCCCACAGCTCTGACTAAAGAACTCTAAGTCCCGAGAGCAGAACGGACCTCCAAGTCCAGATCTTTGCCAACAAAGTCAACATTCGAGACGCTGGCATTGGCATCGTGGAGTACGTGAAACTGCGGCGTGGTTTGCCTCAGCTTAGACAGGAACCAAGGTCATTGATGCTCGATGTATGAGGAACCACGAGGGCACAGGACAGCTTTGCCTGATTCGGCTGCGACACGAGTAGATTTTCGGAGTAAGTGAAGTTCAAGCAGACGTGGCAAAGCCCAAGCAGGTGAACTCTTGTGTCAGGCTTGACACAAGGCTAACTTGACGATCAAATCCGAAGAGATCCGAAGACGACCCCCAAGTTTGGAATATATTTGCTACGGCATAGGTCTAGTAACGCCGCAGATATGATCACCGCTTATCGGACAAGCAGCTCGACCAAAGCAGAAGACGCATAGATCACAACCTTGGTCAGGAAATGCCGTCAAGTCTTTTTCCATCTCTTGAGATGACATCGCACCGCAAGTCTTGTACGACTCTCGTCGATGATTCGCAGCCTCATGCTCATCGCCAGATACATGGAATAATTGAGTTGCAGCTGCGCCAGTTTCTGTCACGCCCCTACAACACTCAGCTCGCCACGTGGCTGTAGCCATTCCTGCGCCGTTCTAGTTCACCAGCGACATCACCATCCAATGCCCGAAACCCGCCAAGGTCCGAAGTTCCAACTAACGGTCTGGGAAAGAGGCCTTCAGTTATCGACTGTCCCACTTATGTCGCACGGCTTTGGGCTGCCGTGCGAAGGATTCTGGCAGAGGCAAGTGTTCAAGCTAAGACTAAGAGCCCAACTGAAGTCATTGGCCAACATCAGAAGGGTCGGTTCGCCAGGAAACATGCACCTGGAAGCTGTCATACATTTTTATGTATTGCAGACTCAAGACATTCCAAAGCCCCAATCCCAGCCACGCGGTCCGGGGGGTCTCGGGAGGCACGAAAAGCAGGTCGGTACCCACCGGAACCACGCCAAGCTGTGAACGTCCTGAAGCAAAGGCTTAATGAGGGCCTAGGGCCCGGCCAAGGAGACGAGGGAGAGCAGAGCTCAAGAACTTGGCTCGGTGAGCTCCTCCATGCAAGGCTTCACGAAGATTCCCCAAACTCATACCTTCCTCTGCGCTGTCCCCCTTCCAACCCAAACGAGTCACCTGCTGTACATATCTCAAGCTCTGTAATACCGGCATACATGATGCCTGAAGCTCTGGCACGAGTCACTTCTTCTTGGTCCATTCCCGGGCTCTCGCAATTTTGTTGAAATGTCTACATATCCTGGGGCCCTAGAGGGCCTACGGCCCTGGCCCAGTTGGTCGTGATGGCTCATTTATGTGGGAGCTACATGGATTTACTTGGCAGCCCTCGAACCCATGATAGAGGCTGCACAGCTGAGAGCGGTCTCGCGACCAATGTCAGGATTGCTGCCGAAGTTAACCCAAATTCTACAGAATCTGCCGATGGCGCCTGACCACGGAAGGTGACCATTATCGCCCAAGCTTTTCAAGGGCATCGAACCATCTGCAAGGTAGACATAGTACTCCGTGACCTCTCAATATCGAGGCACTCCTGATTTCGGGGGTCCTAAGATGTCCGAAAGCTGTAGTGTAAAGGGGCTCGCGGAACCCAGGCGGCTCTTCGATTTCCGGAATTAGGCTTGCAGGTCCAACAAATTCTCTTGGTTCTGGGACCGTTTGAGATCTAAGCACGAACCACTACAAGCGACTTCTACAAGTGCAGCCCGTACTGTGACATGCATCTTCTGTCTGTCGATGCCAGAGCACGGCAAGCAGTCTTCCAGCACGAAGGCCAGTGTCACAATACCACTACTCCGCAGGAAATCCTGGTAGTTATGGTAGTTGTTCTTGTCCCACCGCGACTCAAGATCTTTGGATTTGTTGTCACATTTGATAATCGATATAATCGCATCGTGACTAACCCTTTTTGGGAGGTGTCAAAAGTCCGTGTTCCGAGACTTCGACTCAATACAATCTGTTCGGGAGAAATCGGCATCGGTCGCGGCAGCAAATCTCGGCCTGCTGGTAGACGCCTGGCTCTATCCATGTAATGTTGGAGCCCAGGTCACTGAAGTCAAGATCCAGGTCTTCGAACACCTGTTTCCAAGGTTGGTTCTAATTTAGACGATGGGTCGTGACTGCATCTGAGGTTGTGGCAATGTCCGAGACCATGGAGATCGAGTCAGACAGGACAAGGAAAGCTGGCGTGGTCTGTTCCACCAGGTAAGACTGCGTGAAGATCCTTACACTTCAAGATGTGTGTGGCGATCATGAGATGTCCAAGCCTACCGAGATTCGTACCCCGCGAAAGGAAGTCGCGGATTAGGCTCTTTAGTTTATACTCGTTGACGCAGCTGCAGGAAAAGGCACAGCAAGTGAGTGAAGGCCGGGACTTGGGAGATCTCGGGTGGCAGCAGCTCCCGGCTAGTACCTCGGCATTCCCGATCTTCGGACTGTTTCTACGGCTCCCGGGACAGGGTCTCCCCAAACATCGCTTCAGAGCTGACTACGGATGCAGGGCTGGCCGATCGGCTCCGGAACCCCACATCTTTGTCATTTGGCTTGATATGGGTTGGAAAAGGATGGAAAGACTTGGAGTCTAGAGGTTCATGGGTAGTTGTCATAGGAGTCATAGATCGTGTCATAGGTGCCTCTGAATAGGATGAGAGCATTCTTCTGTAGCTACCGTGCCGTGGCTTGCCGCGCAGTGCCGTAACGTGTTACCCCACCTGTCCACGTGCATACCTGCCTGCCTGCCTGTCTGCATGCCTGCCTATACGCACACAATGACACAAACAAAAACAGACACAGACAGACAAACAGACAGACAGACAGACAACCAGCCGGGCAGGCAGGCAGGCAGGCAGGCATGCAGGCAGACAGACACAAAGACACACACACACACAAACAAACAAACAAACAAGCAAGCAAGCAAGCAAACAAACAAACACATACAAACACACACACACACACACAAACACTCACAAACCCACACAAACACAAACACACACACACACACAAACCCGCGTGCGCGCGCTCACACACACACACACACTCACACCACACACACGCACTCACACACACACAC